CTTTGCCGTACTACTGGTGTATACATCGCTTGAGCTGGGGACTGTGGGACCCTGTCATCAGGCTGACTGTCGGTGACCTGCCTATTTGCTGCCTGTGCCCGGATAGCCTGAATTGCTCTACCGAGGACTTAGCTTGCACCTGACGGTCCTCATGACTTAAAGGAATGTCAGTGTCTTAGCAGTCTCACAGAAGTGAGTTGCACTGAGCCATTTATACTGCTCTATAGACTAATTAGCTGTTGCTATCTTATGTTCTATCTCTATCTATCTATCTATCATCTATCTATCTATCTATCTATCTATCTATCTATCTATCTATCTATCATGTATCTATCTAAAATCATAAGTGTCCTGGTCTTGTTTCTCTAGAAAACCCTATCTAACACACAACCTGTCTCCTGATGGGTGTGACAGAATGAGTGGATGCACACTTCTTTGTCTTCTGTTTCTATAGCAAATTTGAGGGTGGGTCTGGCAGGTGTTGACTGCTATCAATTTTCAGATAGTACAGAAATGGGTAATGGCCCTTAATCAATCAGCAGGGCTATAGGCGGTATAGGTGTGTCTGGGGCAAGTGGACACGGTGGTGTCCCGTCCTATGGGGCAAGAAAATAAAAAATTCAAAAAGTAAGAGCCACAAGAAAATTAAGAGGGGAAAAAAGCACCAAGAACAAGGAGAATTTAATGCCTGAAAGAAAATAAGGAAAGTAAAATAAAAACAAGGGAAGAGAAAAAACAAAGACGGGGAAAAGCAAAGAAAGGAGAAAGCTCTGGGGAACTGGGTATTATTGGTTGGCACATTCAGCCAGCCAAGGAGATCATGGGGTCATAGGAGATGGGTGGATGAAAGGATGGGATCCCTGGTCATAGATGAAGTTTCTGTCTGCCTAGATGTTGTCTACCCTCGAGGTACGTGATCCAGTAGTTGGTGCTGACTCAGACAGTGTCTGAAGTCAGGGTGCTTGCTCCTGGAAGGAATTCTTCTAGATCCCAAGTGCAGCAGCGGGCAGGGTATCTGGTTATGAAAGGAGGTTTTGCCCTTCCAGGGGTGGCCAAAGACTTGGCACTGTGATTTCTTGGTCTGATCATGGGGATTCACACACATCTAGATGTGAGGGTGATGCACTCCGTACATGCTCTGTGAGGATGCAGCTCTGACATCACATAGGGAGTGGGTGTCACTGGCTGCTGGGTGGGTCAGGGTGGGGGCTGGCTACACTTTTGGCCACCAGGAGTGGGGAAAGGGAGGAATTTACCTTTTTCATCACCTGTTCCCAGTGTACCAGGCTACTGCCTTAAAGGTTGCTTGCAAAAGTTCAGGATGGCCACACCCACCACATCAAGCTCTCTCTCCACTTTTATTCAGCTTCTTCCTCTTGCCAGTGGTCACCTTCCCTATCTGTAGCACAGAGGTGCAGGGTTCCAGGGTCATCATCCATACTTATTTTACCTCATTTGTTGTAGAGCAGTGGTTCTCAACCTGTGGGTCGTGACCCCTTTGGGCGTCGAGTGACCCATTCACAGGGGTCACCCATTTCATTACCGTAGCAAAATTACCGTGATGAAGTAGCAATGAAAATAATTTTATGGTTGGGGGGTAAATACAACATGAGGAACTGTATTAAAGGGTCGCGGCATTAGGAAGGTTGAGAACCACTGTTGCAGAGTCTGTGTAGCAAGAATGCTCGGTTTGCAATCTTGCCAGAAGTCTAGAATTGAATTCCTGACTTGCTTCCATGGGTGTTGATTATGCAGGTAAGTGAAATGACATCACCGACAGCTGCAATCTTTTCTGTTTATCATGATGTTGCCCAATGGTCCGGTTGTGAGGGTTTCTGTTTTATGTTAAGTTGTAATCCATACTTAAGTGTATCCGTACCTTGATCTTCATCAGAAAGTACAAGTCGGTGTCATCTGCATATCAGATTGTTAGTGAGTTTTCTTCCAGTTTTCATGGTGGATTTTTCTTCACATAATCCAACAGATGGAATGCGGTGAAAGGATTACAACAAGAATTGAACAATTTTATTCCAAGGGCTCTGAAAAACAGTCTTCCCAGGCGTTTTGGGATGGAAAAATATCCTGAAAACTAAATTTCAAAAGTAAGGGCTGGACTGCTAGTTGGGAATTCTTGATGGCATTACCAGTCACAGACTTTGCCTTAATGATGGTTTAAAATTCTCACCTTAGTACGCATTTTCAAGAAAACCACGTGTCGCCATTACACCATGCCACAAAATTCCTAGAGAAAGAACGTTTTGCTGGCATCAAAAGCCCAAGTTTTCTAAAGGCATAAAGGGCACCTTTCCCCCCATGGAGCTGATCTTTCAGGACAAGTTTTTGAATGGAGAAAACTCCAACTGAGCACAGCACGAATCTCTTCGCTGTAATGTGCTCCTTAGTAAACCAGGGCAATCCATGAGAACTCTCTTTACTAACGAGAACACTACCTCAGCCAAGGATGCCGCTGCTGTTAGGTGCTGGCGAGTGGCGGACTCCGAGTGATGGACGCCGATGGACTAGAGTGAAGCCCTGCTGGTCCTGTGCTAGTCCCACGGTTGTTATGTTTGAGCCCATGGTCGCAGCCACTATGTCAATCCATTTTGTTGAGTGGCTCTTTTTTGCTTCCCCTTTACCAAGCATGACGTCCTTTTTCAGAGATCATCTCTCCCAATAATATGTCCAAAGTATATGAGACAAAGTCTTGCCACCCTCGCTTCTAAGGGGCATTCTGGCTGTACTTCTTCCAGACACCTCTGTTCTGTTGGCAGTACATGGTACTTTCAATGGTCTTCACCAGCACCACAATTCAAACTAATTAGTTCTTCTTCGGTCTTCCTTATTCAATGTCCAACTTATATACATGGGGTCATTGAGAGTAGCATGGCTTGGGTCAAGTGCACCTTAGTCCTCAAAATAACACCGTTACTTTCAACACTTTAAAGAGGTCTGTGCTGCAGAATGACCCAGTGCAACGTATCCTTTGATCTCTTGCCTGCTGCTTCCATGAGCGCTGATTGTGGATCCAAGCAAGACGAAGTCCTCACTACAGTCTTTTCTCCATTTATCAGACAAAGGTCAGAGTTCTTTTTTCAGACCTTACTGGGCAGCTATTTACAATTTGAAGTTGATTATAATTTAAATAAGGACATTTTAAATGTAAATGTAATAAGTACTATCAATATGGTAGCATCGTGGGCTACTCAATGAGCTGCTAACTGGAAAATCAGCAGCAGTTTGAACCTACCATCGGCTCCATGGGAGAAAGATGGGGCTGCCTGCTCGTGTGAAGACCCCAAAGAGCAGTCATAGTCTTGTCTCATGTGGTTGCCATGAGCCAGAATCACCTTGTGGCAGTGGGTTTTAGGTTTGGTTAGCAATATGTGCATTTCCACTATGGGAAACTGACATTTTAGATTGTAGACAGAAAGAAGATGTTTACAAACTATTAAGTCTACTCTGGACAATGCATGTAACGATGAAAAGATTTTTCAATATCCCTTATAATAAAACAAATCATCCCAAAAGGGATTTAGGGGCTTCAAGAGAAGTAAAACTCAGGAATGAATACTGTAATACAAAATTGTGGCCCCAAATACTGTATCTTTAACCAGCAAGATCACTGGGGCATCATTACACAACATTCGCTGTTTTTTGCAAAACTAGCTTCTGTTAGGGAGCTGGAGGCAGAAGTAAGGGTTGTCCTTCTATCTGCCAAAGGCTCCTCCCCTGTACAGGAAGTTGGAAGCCGCTTAAGGTTGGAGGACTGGCTTACATTCAAGCTCCCAGCCAGGAAGGGGTGGTACACCTAGGTGGGACCCCCATCCAGGCCAGGTGGGCTTAATTCAGCCAATGGGGCTAACCAGTATTGTCGACCACGCCTCCCAAGGGGGGGAGGGTGGAAAAGCCAGAAGTTTTCTCTGGTGCAGGCTCCCTCCTAGCGGGTGCCACACAGTTCAGCTACCACAGACTGTCTGGCTTGTGTTCCATTTACTGTAATGCCAGAAACTGCTTGTAACCTTTATAAAACTCACTTGGATCACAAAACAGGCTTCTGCATGAATTTTTGCTCACGTGAAGCCAAGGACTGAGGTATTTCCCACCTGGGGAAACCTAACATTTCCATGCCCAAATCGACATTACATACATTCTGAATGACAGTTTAAGAACAGTAAATATGATTCTTTTAAATATTGCAAGTTTCAAATGTTTTCTGACAAAACTTCCTAAATACATGGGTCTAAGCAAAGGTTTCCAAAATGAAGACGAGTGAGTGATCCAGCAAGAAATTGCATTTAGAAAGTTCTTTGAGAAAAAGAAATCCATCAATAAAGTAATACAAATTTACATAATTTCTCATATGTACATTTTAAGTTCCCTAAACTTAAAAATTGACTGAAGACTACTTCCCTCCCTGTTGTCATCTTCCGTCAAAAGATTCTATGTAGGTGAGAATTCCTTTGACCCAATTTAAGATCTGATTTTACCAAACAAACGTTTTCATCACATGTAGATATTGTTTACTATTGGGTTTGAATCATTTGGGGGAAATAGGGGTTATGTGGTAGGGACGGTAAAAAGAAAAAGTAATATTTGACCCCCTACTATAAGCTACGTGTGTATGCATTCTAGAGGCAAGAGTGTTACTGGAAGGGCAGTGGGAACTGGGAAGACGGCAGGAAAAAGGACAAGTTCAGACTGCACTTACCAACGACAACAGCAGGTATCTGGCTCTAAAAATCCCTAGCTAATCATATACAATGAAGCCATTTCTCTCATTGAGTGGAATTAAAATGAGACCCCCAAAAACACAGTTACCAGGACAGATCAATTAACGCTACATATGCTGGAAATACGTAGAGATAAATAAACGTATAATATCACTAGTGTTAATTTTTACATGTTTCTAACCAAAGATCTCGCTTTGGAAGAAAATAGGAATGTACACCAAGCACACCTTATTTGTTATAAATTGAGAGGTTGTTTAATTACCAATTAAGTGGTTTTAAACCCTTTTTAATTTTAAGAAGAGCAGCAATATACATTACAATATTTGGGAACACTTTATTTTTATATGGGTTAACATTCTGCTAATATTTTATTTCAATTTTTTTGAAACTGAAAACAAAGGGAAGTTGAGGGTAATTTGAAAGCTATTTTTAATCAATATCTGAGCCTTGCAGTATCTCATTAAGCAGTCCTTTTTTCCCCATTATTTATTTATTTTTTGCAAATAAAATCAGTTTGACCAAAATCCAGCACAAACAGCTTTTCTTTTCTTTTTTTATACCAATTTCTACCTTATGACAACTAAAACTAATATTCAAGTGGCAGTATAAATTTTTAAATTACAGTTCATACACCTTGACAACCAAGAGTCTGAAGTACAAAAAGTAAATTGCCCTTTAGTTGAATTACCTCTTTAAAAAATATTAGACCTGCTGGTTACCCTACCAAATGAAAACAACAACAAAAAAAGTTTAAGGTGTTCTTCAAATACCTTCTGGAAACATCATCTGTTAAATACACAGCATACGCAGGTCCCTAGGAAGACCCCCACCCCCACCCCGTTTACCTGTTCCTGACATTCAATAGAGCTCTCTATACTGAAATGTTTAAAACAAAAAAAAAGACCTTTTGAGGGGATTTGCTTTGTTTTTGAATGTGTGCGTTCTCTGCCTTTGTTTAATTAAGAGCACGAACTTCTGAATTTAAACTGTGTAAGGCATGGCAGGAACCCCGATTTACGAATAAGGACTTGTCTGAGGGCTGAACCGCTGCTGGACCTTCTGCAAACGGGAAAAATCAGCTGTAAGCGGGTACTGCAATGAGGTGAGTGAGTCATGAAGCGGCTACCAGCCCCGGTATGCTGAAGAGAGATGCTTGTGTTTTTCTTGCGTTTGCTTCTGAATAAGACATGCCAAGTCACCCTAAAATGTGCCACAGGCCTGTGTTACCTAGTGCGTCAACAGGAGAAGCCCGGTGGCACACCCTTATAACACTTGCAATCACAATAGAATATAAAGCATGAGTAAACTTCATTTTCCCTTCCCACCCCTAGCCCTTCAATAAAACCCCAAAGGAACAAAAAAGAGAACCCTTTAGCTTCGATTGACTAGTGTGGATAAAAGTGGGTTTCTCTGAGTCACTGTGGCAAGGGTGATCAATTTTTTCCTTTCTCAAGAGAAGGGATCTTGTCATGCACCCTAAAGTGAACCGTGAAGCCACAAATCTTGGTTCTGCATAGCAAATTCCATTCTAGCTTCTTAAAGACAAATAGAACAAGCTTTTCCTGTTTGCTCAGCTGCTTTGAGCTTTGAGATCAGGTTTAATCAACTATATCTACTATAGCTCTATTAAATAGAATATCATGATTCCCTAAAACTGTAACACTTATGATCTCATGATGAGGTTTTTGCTATACACACTGTAAGCCTTCAAATGTTGTTGTTTACTTTTTTTTTTTTTGCTGCACCAAATGTAAGATTGCCCTTTCAGGCGAAGCAGTGGTCTCTAGCTTTAAAACGTTTCCTTAGTGGATCACAATAGCTTCTAAAACTGCCTTTCTAATAAAGGTCATCAGAGAGGTAATACTAAACTGTGCATTTGCCAAATAAGAATATGAATTGTATAAAAGCTCATATTCCAATCCTAGGTCAAATGGCAAAAGTTCTACAAAGTTGGTTCCCATGTTTGTATAAAAACTCCAACTGATTTTATGTCTTTTGCTATGAAATTACCTTTGGGTCTCATAACCAGTATACCTCTACTCAGGAATGTGCAAATGATTTTATACAGCACGATGCTAGTACCGCTCTGTAGGATTATAAGGTTTTGTTTGTTTGTTTTCTTCTTTACTAAATGGAAAAAAATATCCCTAGTCAGAAAAAAACTGACAAATTTACACTGTCCTCTCTTAAAAAAGTAAATAAAATAACATTATTCAAAATGTGAATTAGCTATAAGACATACAATTACATAGATACATATCAACACAGCACATTCAGTCTGCCAAAAAAATTAATGATTACAAAGCCAGTATGAATGTTGCAATATCCAGACAGAGAGATGTATGTACAATGATTAGAGCACTATACCTACAGACAGTCTGCTTGCTACTTAAATCACAGGTGGTTTCTGAGGAAGGAAAAGAGAAGGAGCCCATGTTTTGGGAGAGGAAAGAATGAGAATATTCGTTACTACCCAGTAACTTTGGTCTCATCCAGTAAGCCATCAACTCTCTCCCTCCCTTTTGTTGTTTCAAAAGGAGGAATCATAGGGAAGCGCACTCTACTGTCAAATAGCAGTGACGTTAAACTGAGGCCCAAAGCAGGGCCTGTTTCTATCTTCTCAGCAGCTTTCAAACATCATGTTTTGAATCAAGTTGCCGGACAGAAGCTCACTAATATACATACTGTTGTGTTTTTGTTGTTGTTGCTGGGTTTGCCCTTTTTCTTTTGGCATTGTTGAAATTTGCAGCTAGGGCTCCAACAATCTCCCCTAGTAGGTTCAGTTACATCAATACATGCTCTAGAGAACATTAAGAGGCTACTTCCTGAACTGAGTCCACACATCTTCAGTAAGTTCAGTTTACCCAGCCACCATTTCAAGAAGATCCCAGAGGTGGGAAATTATCATCAATAATTTCAGGGAGTTTGCAAATTAAAGGTGTCAGAATAATATTAAAAACCAATTTCTTGGCAGGTTTGCTCTCCTGGAGACAGAGGGAGAGGGTAAAACTGGCTTGAAATAGAGACGCAAGCAGATGTCATGTTGCACCACACAGCACACTATTCCACAAAGCCGTTTTGGACACCTGGACATGGACGCTAAGTGACGTGATTATAAGGGGAGCAAAGAAAAGAATGGACCATGAGACTCAAATGTACACTTGCCAATTGTTTGGCAGCTGCTTGTCAGGTGCCTTCTCAGCCCGTTGTTCTTTCTCTCTTACATTTTCATTATTTTTTTTATTATGCTTTATGCTATTTAAAAAAAATAAAAAGCCAGCTTTGGAAGCACACATCTATAATAAAAGTTATTTTAACATTGTGGCCCAAACACTAAGGAGGGAAAAAAGAGGAAAAACAGGAGCAGGGTTCCTTGAGTAGGAAACAAAGAGGAAACTGCTAGAAGGTTTTGGGAAGTGTAGTGTCTCTTGGCGTGTTTTTTGGCATCTGTGATTTAAAGAAAGAATGGGGCGGTGGTGGTGGTTGAGGAGGAGGAGAAAAAGCAAGGAAGGAGGAAGAAAGGAGAACGGCATCTTACCAGAAAGAAATCTTTCTGTGGCCTTTGCCTTTGCCCTGCTGACTCCTGTGCCCGTCACTGAGTAACTGAGTTATGGCTGAAGATAAAAATCCCAAAGAAGTGATAAATAGCCGTTAATCTGCGCATCCACCATCACCATCTATTCCAAAGCGGGACAAGACAATTATTTTTAAAAATGTCTACACCTATATCTGGAGAAATACATTTAAAACCATGACAATACTTATAGTCCTCCAGCAAAAACTGCATGCTTAAATTAATTAAGCTGATGTATCATGGCTTAACGTGAATGGCATCATCTTGACAGTATCATTCAGAGTAAAACCCAACCAAGAATGGAACTAGGAAAAAGTCCGTAGTAATCTGGGCAAAATCAAGAGGGAGACATGTGCTAGGAAAAAGGGAAATCGGCTTTGTTTGGCTCAATAGAAAAGAAAAATGAGAGCGAGACAAAGAGAGAGAGAGAGAGAGAGAGAGAGAGAGAGAGAGAACTCTTATTTCTGTGAGTGCATGACTGAGAATTGAAAATACATCTAGTCACAAGGTTTTGCCTGAAAAAAAGAGAGAGAGGAAAGGTGCTGGGACTGTTCTTCAGCATCCTCTGTTTAATCTCTGTATAGTTTAAATAAAATCATAATATTTACTACAAACTCTGTGGACACGCTCACACAGAGACCAGGACAGCAATAAATTAGTACTATGCAAATTGTTTTCCACAGAAGTACAGTCCCTCTTGTATGTCTTCACAGCCCCCCAGGGAGGGGGAGGGCGGGCGTCTCGGAGGCACGGTTAGACCAGATTGTACTCTTTCAGATTCAGCTGGAGGATGGTGTCCTTGACGGCCGCGAAGACAAAGCGGATGTTCTCGGTGTCGGTGGCGCACGTGAAGTGGGAGTAGATTATTTTGTCACTGTCTGGGTTCAGGTCCACGAACATCTTCAGGATGAATTCTCGAGCTGCCTGGGCATCTCTCTGGGGTCCTGTTAGCCAAGGAAGGAGAGGGACTATGGGTTAGTTGGTCTGGTTTTCATTTCTTCCTCATTTCCTGCATTGAAATGATCTGTTATAATAATTCCCCCAATGCTACAATGTGCAATCTTTCCTCTTTATGCAATCTTTCCTCTTTATCATTTCACATGCATTGTATTGTTTTCTGTATTCTTTTGGATCGAGGCTTTTCTGTTTTGCTATTGTTCTTGACTTTTGGAGTGGCGGGGGGGTGTTGGATTTTCTTTATATGAAATCCAGATAGGTAAATAGATAAATGTGTTAGACAGGGTTCTCTAGAGAAACAAAACCAGATTACTAGTAATTTTATATATATATATTTATATTTATAAAGATAGATAAATACATAACACAAGAAATGAACTGTTAAATTATAAAGCAGTACAAATGGCTCAGTGCAACTCACTCTCGTGAGAGAGTTGTGAGACACTGGCAGTCCTTTGAGTCTTGAGGGTTGCCAGATCTTCTGTAGAGAGAGCTAGGCTATATAAGCACAGCAGCAAATAGCAAGGCAGGTCACGAACTGTCAGCCAGGTCACCAACTGCCAGTCCCCAGCTCCAGAGATGTAAACTTCAATCATGTGGTCTTAAAGGGACCTCAACTTACAGCGACAAAGTCCACAGGCTAGACGTCCCACAGGTAGTGTAGCCTCTAAATTGAGGCACAGAACAAGCAAGGCAGCCACACACTGGTCCGATGACCAAAGAGCAAGAGCCAAGAAAGGCGAGACTCACCGAACCATTTATCTCTCCACCCTTCAATTAATCCCACTTGTGTTTATTGGCCAGGCTGGCACAATAAACTATCTCAGTAAAGTTATAGTGATAGTAAGTAGAATAATAGTTTCTTAGAGTTATGGCAGGGAAAGTTGGGGGGAAATGGGGTGCTAATAACAATGAGCACAAAATTAAGAAAATATACTAAAATTGTGATGATTATTGCACAACCACTGTAAACTATATGCTACTAGAACTTTTAAAAATTAGAGATAAAAGTCTTCAAAATGTTTATTTATAACAGTCATCTGCAGCCTCACATTTGCAGATTACTGGTGTTCCCGAGAACACTATAATTAGACAATATTGAATTCACTATAAGTGATAACAAAACAGGTGCCTTATATTTTATTTTACATTGATTGAGGGTCTCCTATGTGCCTGGCTCTGTCCTCGATACTTTGAAAAAAGAATGCGAGATATTTATCGAAATGAATTAATGCAAACTCACTTTACTTGGATAAAAATTATTAATTTTAAATGTATTGCTTTACAGGAGTAACAACTTCACCATAAGTCAAGGACTAAACATCTACCTTGATTCAGTCTTTATGTTGTTAGACGTGCTCTATGAGGGGGCTTCAAAAAGTCCGTGGACGATTCTATTATCTTTTTACGCCATTTTTCTAAGATTTTTTTGAGCCTCCTCACACATTTGTGTTTCCCCCTACTGGTTCGTTAGTTCTGAACTCCCAGGAGCCAGAACTTGTGTTTTGTCTGTCACGAATCATGTGATCTATTGGCTGGAGTTGGATCTTGGTGAGCCACTCCTAGCCACGCACCCTGACTTCCACCTCACGCACTTTACTGCAAATTGGGGATTATCCTTATGCATATCCAATTTTTCCAGAAGTTGGGAGGAGAAAGACATGAAAATAACAATTACTTAAAGTCAAGGAATTGAAAAGAATGTTTGCAAATAACTTTTGCGCCAGAAGAGAAATCCATATTGATGATTAAGAAATATGCACCCCATCCCCTAAAATAGGAAAAGGCTGTCAGCATAGTGAATGAAAGGTGCCGCAATATATATATATAATCTGTATAATGATTCAATGCCACACTGCTAACTCATTCTATGTACCCACTGCCACTGAGTCACTTCCAACTCAAAGGGACTAGATACAGGACTTCCGAGGTTATGAATCGTTACAAGAGCAGGTAGCCTCATCTTTCTTCCATGGAGCGGCTGGTGGGTTTGATCTGATGATCTTGCAGCTAGCAGTCCAATGCTTTCCCGACGGTGTCAAGTAATAAAAATAAAAATTTAAACCAGAGAGATGTTAGCGCTAAGGAGCTTCTCATTTTTTTTTTTTTGTAAAATAACTTTATATTCCTGTTTATGTGTGATCTGCATTTTACCCTGTTTGGGAAAGAAGTGGCTATTTTTTTCCATTTTATTCGAGTTCACTGAAAAGTGCTTGGAATATTCTAAGTTTCTAAGGACAAATGATGCTACTTAAATAAGAACTACAAATAAATCAGTATACTCATGATAATAAGAAGATTCCACAGCTTCTGTGCACAATTTTGCAAATTTCCCTTCTACAAGAGAAATACAGCAATGGCACTCATTATGATTAAGAATATGGAAGTGTGAAATTTCCAATGCTGTAAACATGTTGACTATACAAACATCGGTGCAGAGTGGCCCTTGTTATTTCCAGCCGTTTCCTCTGACAAAGGCTTTGAGTCTCTTGATGTGACAGCCAGGTTTGCTTCGTGAAGAACAAAAGCAATGTCTCTAACATTTTTTTTTTTTAGCAGACCAGTTTCCTATATGCATTATGTATCTCCTGGGGAGACTCACAGGCAAAACAAACTGAAACACCAAGGCACCCACAGTGGGAACATTAAAAGAAATGACTGTAGTGAGAGGGAATCTGGACCAAGGAAGTGTGTAAAAGGAAAAGGCAGTTGTTGTAGAGAGAAAAACAGCACCCTACATACCTATCAGAGGGAAAAAAAAATCTTTTATTGCATAAAACTCTACCAACCTGTAATGAGGGTATGTCTTGTGCTGCTGCTTTTGGCGTCACAGTGGGTTTAACTCTGTGGGGTGGACTATGCTGTATCTGCTCTGTGCCCTCTCTTGGGTAACCATGTTATGAAAACATGCTGGTCTAACCATCAGATGGTAAGTACAGTGTGGCTATTTTGCATCCCTGGATTCTCCCCAAACTGAGAAAATTAAAGAGATTCCCCACATGGAACAACATATCAACCTGTGTGATCACGGGGTGTCGAAGGGATCACTGAAGACAAATGGGTACATAAGCAAATGTGGCAAAGAAAGCTGATGGTGCCCGGCTATCAAAAAGTATAGTGTCTGGGGTCTTAAAGGCTTGAAGGTAATCAAGCGGCCATCAAGCTCAGAAGCAACAAAGCCCACATGGAAGAAGCACACCAGCCTATGCAACCACGAGGTGTCGAAGGGATCAGGTGTAAGGCATCATCAGAACAAAAAATCTTACCATAGTGAATGATGGGGGGAGTGCAGAGTGGAGATCCAAAGCCCATTAGTAGGCCACTGGAGATCCCCTTGCAGAGGGGTCTCGGGGAGGAGATGAGCCAGTCAGGGTACAATGTAGCGATGATGAGAAATACAACTTTCCTCTAGTTCCTAAATGTTTCCTCCCCGCTCCCACTACCATGACTCGAATTCTATCTTGCAGGACTGGCTAGACCAGAGGAGGTACACTGGTATAGATGGGAACTGGAAATACAGGGAATCCGGGACGGATGAGCTCTATAGGACCAGTGGTGTGAGTGGCGAAACAGGGAGGGTAAAGGGAGAATGGGTAGGAAAGAGGGAACCGATGACATGGAACCGTGTGTGACCTCCTCCCTGGGGGACAGACAACCGAAAAGTGGATGAAGGGAGACGTCGGACAGGGCAAGATATGACAAAATACCCATTTATAAACTATCAGGGGCTCATGCAGGAGGGGGGGAGCGGGGAGGGAGGGGAAAAATGAGGACCTAATGTCGGGGGTTTCAATGGAGAGAAAATGTTTTGAGAAACGATGTACAAATGCGCTTTACACAATTGATGTGTGTATGGATTGGGATAACAGTTGTATTAGCCCCTAATAAAATGTTAAAAAAAAAAAGAAAAGAAAATTAAAGAGATTCACGTTACATGCATGAGAGGCTCTGGTAAGTACCGAAGACTCAACCAGATGCGGTGTCCATTTAGTGACGCAGGTCCTGTGTTCTTTAAATACAGGTGAGCACCCAAACAGGCAGTTAACTTTCGTCCAGAATTTCCTCAGAAATAATGAGAAATTCCGTCTCAGGCATTTGTGACTTGGCTCCAGGTGTACAGCAAATAACCAAAGAGGAAAAGCGACAACACTGCTTAGACTCGCAAAGGATTTGTTGTTAAAGGACCAGCAGAGCAAAAGGAAAGTGTATTTAATTAGCAGGTGGCAAACACCTGGCTGACCAGCAAAGCGTACTATTTCTAACACTCGAGGCCATCGCCCAGTGCTGTTACTTCCACTTCTCCAAGTTTCAGGGTCTTCTGCATAGGTGAGCAGGGACCGTCTGTCCTTATACAAGTCGGGTGTCCCAGCACTGTACAAGTCCACATGAGAAGAACAGATGAGTCAAACTCGATCCCTGATAGGTTTGCATCTCAGAAAGCTATGCCGTCAAGTGTAATCTTAGATTTTTTTTTTTTTTTGTAATCTTAGATTTTAACTAGCTTTTTTGAGAGCTCTTAGAAATATAAAATTACTGAGGATGTCCGTGCTGGGTAGCATACGTTGGCAATGCCGGACAGACCAGTCTGCTCTTTCGTGGCTGCACATGCCTTCATAGGTGGTGTGTATTTGGGGTTTGTGTGCTTCTAATATGTCAGGTGTGAGTACCCCCACTTCGTGACCATTTGCTGTATGGCAGTTTGCTTTTGCGAAAGACCTCCGTTAGCACCAGTTTTGCTCTAGCTGAAAGAAAATCTGAAGAGGAGCTTTGCTTCTATGAGAAAAGGTGAGAAGTGAAATCAGCATATGGTGGTCGTCGCTATGAAAGGTGCAGAGTGCAGGCTGAGCGGTGCCAGGGAGCCACACAGCATGCAGCGGCCCCAGCTCTGAACTGTGTCAGTGACCATGTTACCGTTGTTTCGGGTTTTATGTGTTATTTGGTAGGCCATTTTTAGGGTCTGGGGGAAAATGTTTAAATTGCACATATAAATAGGTGGTAATTGCTTCTTCACGCCATTTCAGCTTCCGAAGGCTTCATAGGAATGCACTACTTTCGGATAACAGGGGAAATATTCTGTCAAGTGCTTATATGCTGGCATATATTTGAGCTGGCCCCAACACATGACAACTCCATGTGTTACACGATAGAATTGGTCCAAAGGAGTGGGTTATATGTTGGGCTGCTACTGCCAGGTCAGCAATTCAAAACCACCAGCCGCTCTGAGGGAGAAAGATGCGGTTTTCTACACCTGTAAAGAGTTATAGTCTTGGAAACCCACACGGCAGGTCTAGCCTGTCCTCTAGGGTCATTATGAATTGGGACTGGCATGATGGCAGTGAGAAGCTGCACTCACCCCCTTGGAAGCCCTGGGGAGCAGCATAGCTCTGCTCTGACAACATGCGGTTGCCAAGAGTTGAGGGCAGCTAACAGTAGATCATCAGGCCTTTGAACTGCTAAGTGGGTTCAAGCCACCAACCTTTTTGTAGCTGCTTGGTCTTCCAGGCTCTTAAGTCTGTGTTACTTGTAAAGAAACTATGTCACCTGGTCCAAGGTGTTAGCACATTTATCTTTTAGCCCCTATACTCTTTAAAGCAGGGTCTAGCCAACATTCCCTCTAAAGAGCCAGAGAGTAAATGATCTCAGGCTTTACAAGCCATATGGTCTCTCTCACAATTATTCACCTCTGCAGTTGTAGACAGAGTGTTGTAAAGCATAGGTGTGCCTATATTCCAAAAAAACGATTTTTGAAATAGGCCTATTGCCGTAGTTGGCTAACTTTAATCTAGACTCAAGGAGCCGGGGCTCCACAAAGGTTAACTAAAGTCACAAAGGACTTAGCTGCTAACTGTAAGGTTGGTGGTTTGAACCCACTAGCTATTATGCCGTACAACAATCTGTTCCTGTAAAGATTACAGCCTAGGACATACTATGGAGCAGTTCAACCCTGTCCCTTGAGGCTGCTGTGACTTGGAAGCACAGTGGTGGAAGGGGTGGGAAATGGTTCACCCTGCAACCTAAGCTCTCACAGGGTAGGGGCTATGGCTGTTTCATTCGTTTTAGGTAAACTGAGTGTGGATGTATTTCATCACCAGTAAAATAAGCATTACTCAGCGTGGGCTGTGTCCAGTTCTTTGGGATTTCAGAGTTTGGATGGGGATTTGTCTTTAAGAACCCAGTCAATGCAAAGCCTTATGAGTAATGAAGTGGGTGCGTCGTATTTTAAATGCTGCAGGAAAAACTTCGAAGGATAGATCCTCCTCAGAGGGATGACGGAATGTCATCGGGGCGTGAAGCATGAAAGAAAGCACATATTTCCTGAATGACGGGCACCGGGCTATAAATGTCACACATGTCATGCTATCTGCCACAAACAGTCTTCTGAATCTGCAGAAGTCCTGTGACTTCGTTATGGTCCGACAGATAGTGTGTGTCATACGTGGGTTATGAACCTGGGTAGATGGCTTCTGAGTCTGGGATCTTGATGACAAAACTGGGCTTTCTTCCCCCAAATACAGTCAGACTATCACCAAATGAAAGGAGGTTATCAAAGAGGAACATAGTAATTGATGTTTGATTGACCCAAACTACCTCATCTTGTTGCTTCCTCTGATACGGCTGTTTCACAAGTTATCAGAAGGTGTTTTCTTGACTTTTCAGCTTTTTCTTTTTTTACCTTTTATTTCCTTTTATTTTATTTTATTTTTAAACATTTTATTAGGGGCTCATACAATTGTTATCGCAAGCCATACTTTTCAGCTTTTTCATGAAATGAAATGCTTTGTGATTAAAGGACAGAACAAACTTGAATCGGTAAGCCATCAATCACAACATGTAGGCTTCTGAGAGCACAGGCAGCCTCGATACTGCTAGATGTAGTTGAGTTGATTCCACCTCACGAGGGCCCATGTTGCCATTGTTGGCACGTGTCCCGGAGGCAGTTCCAACCCACAGCAATGCCACAAACAGAACAACACACTGTCTGGTTCTGCACCCCCTCACCGTATTGTTCTAGGTTTGTGCCCACTGTTCCAGCCCATCTCATCGAGGGTCTTCTGTTCCTTGTGTATCTGCACTGTGTCGGGAGGAGAGTGCCCACCCCCGCAGGGCTTCTCCGCAGTGCGCTGACTTACCATCATATTCCGGGAAGTAGTCAACTAGGTGGGAATACATGATTTTCTCCTCTAGCAGGTCTTTTTTGTTTAAGAACAGGATGACGGAGGAGTTCTGGAACCAGGGATATGTAATAATTGTCCTAAAGAGTGCTTTGCTTTCTTCCATTCGGTTCTGAAAAGAAAAACAAACCACAAGACAGAAAAAGGAGTGAATGAGGAGATTACTCAGTCTGTGAAGAAGTGTACACATCTCTTGTACGCATCCAATTTTTGTAGTCCATGGGTGGAGTTGATCGTGAATTATATGCAAATGATTAATGATCCTTATTGGCTGTTTCCATTGTGCAAACTCTCAGGATAGAATGCAGAAAAGAATAATAATAATAAATAGATATGCTGAAATAACTCTTAAGGCTGCAAGAAAAAGCAAACAAAGTCCGAAGCCTGGAGAATTGTGCTATATCTGGCACATTGATTGTCCCACATTTTAACCTCTTTATGATTAAAGAGTTAAGAGCAGAATTAAAGACTAGGTAGGTTTCATTCTGTCTCTTAAACTGTATTTATTTGAGGCTACATGGTTAATTCTATTTTAACCTAAATCTAAAGAGAGTTACTTAATTCTTTGTCCAAAGCACATCTAGATTTCTATAATTATTGCCACTTACTATGTAAGTATAAGTCAATTATTCAATCCTGTGCTAAGCAAAAGTATGGAAAAACTTTTTTATGTCATACATTTCCGGTCTCTGAGAGCACAGTTTACCTCCATGACCCACTCTAATTTTCATACAGAATTGTGGTGATGTGTACTCGCTACCTGGAGAGACACATCAGCAGCACTCACGTGCATTGTTACCTGAGGCCATCCCCTGAACCTACACTGGTAACAGAAAACCTAAAAGGGCTCACCAGGAAACTCACCAGCTTGCTCTTACAAATGAAGACGCCAATCAAGGCCATTCATGACTCAAAGCATTTTTCTCAAAAACATTGTACTCATCTGCCCATCGCTCATCATCTTCTATCTTCTAGTCCATATCTCCTTATCAGCTCCTCATCCCGTCCAAACCATTCCCACCCTTACGTCCTACCATGTAACATATTATGGGAGTCTACTTTCCCAGAAGGCATGGTGCATGGGCGTGCTTCTTCCAGCACAGAAAGCAAGCTCTGAGCAATGGAAATAGCTACACGGGATTGAGCCCTTCTCCACTGCTCTGGCTGAAGGGTTAGTAACAACCTGTGATGTGCAGATGACACACGTTGCTTGCTGAAAGGGAGAAGCACTTGAAGCACTTGCTGATGAAGACCAAGAATTGCAACCTCCAGACCAAAATCTTCACAACTAGACCCATAGGTAACAACTTCATGATAAATGGGGGAAAGGTTGAAGCTGCCAAGGATTTTGGCTTGCTGGGATCCACAATCAATGCTCATGGAAGCAGCAGCAAAGGGAGAAAAAGATGGAAGTTTTTCTGTTTTATTTGGCTATTACCATTATCATTATTATTTTTGGTATATGCTTCTTTATATGAACTCCACAATGGCTAGGAGGCAGTAACTGGATTAATCGTTTCTTAGGGCTGTGGAAGAGGAGGTTTGTGGGAAATAGGGAGCTAATAAAAATGAGTACAAGAATGGAGAAGATGTTCTGAAAATGATGGTGATGCTTAATGCACAACTCTTTTGAATGTTTAAACCACTGAATTGGAAGATGCTAATTCTATATCAATAAAATGATTATGATTTTGAAAAATTGTTGTGCTATATAAAGGCTTGCCATTTTAACCATATTTAAGTATATGATTCAGGATTATAAAATGTATTCACAACGCTGTCTAATAATTAATCATTATGCTTCCAAAAGTTTTTTATCATCCCATACAGACACTCAGTACCCTTCAACAATAACTAATGCCTTGTATTTCAAAAGTTAGTTTGGGCTGGAGTTTTCTTTTTATTATACAAAATTAATTCAGTTGATAGACCTCGACACATTCACTCATAAATGTGAATGCATGAATGGTGGTCGAGGGATGACTATTATGATCCTGGGTACAAGCTATATCTTCAACTCAGATTTTCCATTCCTGATGTAAAACATTCCCTGTGTCCCATAGGGCAGAGTTACGAAGGCCAAACACTCCAAGTGAAGGCAGTCTTTGATATCCTGATAATTTCTTGTTTTTTTTCTTCTGGAAGGAGACAAAAAAGCCCATACAAGTTGCTAAGGTATATTTTTCTTTTTAAAAATTTTAATTGAATTTAATTTTCATTTTTTTTAACATTTTATTAGGGGCTCATATAACTGTTATCCCAATCCATACACACATCAATTGTGTAAAGCGCATTTGCACATCATTTCTCAAAACATTTTCTCTCCATTTAAACCCCCGACATTAGGTCCTCATTTTTCCCCTCCCTCCCCGCTCCCCCCTCCCGCATGAGCCCTTGATAGTTTATAAATGGGTATTTTGTCATATCTTGCCCTGTCCGACGTCTCCCTTCATCCACTTTTCGGTTGTCTGTCCCCCAGGGAGGAGGTCACACACGGTTCCATGTAATCGGTTCCCTCTTTCCTACCCATTCTCCCTTTACCCTCCCTGTTTTGCCACTCACACCACTGGTCCTATAGGGCTCATCCGTCCTGGATTCCCTGGATTTTCAGCTCCTAGATAAGGTATATTTTTCAAAGAGCACTTAACTACCAAACTTGTCAATCTTTTAACCCTTTTAAAGAAGGATTTTCTGCTTTGAATTTTTGGTTGAAACCATGTGTGCTTAGTAATTGAAGGCAATTTGAGTCAGATGGAAAAAAAGTCAAGGTAATATGGATTTCGATATACTGTGTGGTACACAGTATGCCTCAAGGCGTTTCTGGCCTGGCTTGGTGGGATACGGCCAGCTTCTAGATGGCAGCCCACACTGCTAATGTGGGAGTGGTTTCCACCAACCTCCGAGGAGACATCTGTAGGAGACTAGGTCCTCCCCAGATCACAATGGGGTTACCGTTCTGTTTATAATTGCTTATATAATTAAATATGATTAATACATGCAACAGATCTACTGACAGAATGTCCAATGGCTGAAGGCATATTTATTTCACTGTATACATTTCTTTCATATAAGTGGCATGCACAGCCTTTGAAAGTATTATTATTTCTATCTAAACACATACGGCCATTTCCTTGATTATCAGAGCCATATAGTAGTCACATTTTCAGGTCTGGCAATACTATTCACTGAGAAATGATAGGAACCCAAACGCACTGCTACCACATGGATAATCACTGAGAAATGCGAGAAACTTGAGATTTCATAGGTTTAAAAGTTCAAGGCAGAGGATAAGCAATGGTTCTAAAAAGAATGAGAGGAATCTAAAGCCCATCAGAGAGCAGCATCCCTGGCAAGTGTTCGCATTTGTTGTTGTAAGCACTGGCTGCCAACCACGAGGTCAGTGATTCAAACCCACCAGCAACTCTGCAGGAGAAAGATGAGGCTGTGTCCTATAGGGTCCTATAGGGTCACTGTGAGTTGGGATTGGCCAGATGGCAGTAGGGATTTCTCGTTGCTGTTTATACAGCTACAGTAAGACCTGCAGAAAGGACAGGTAGGTAAACCTGGCGAGTCTGCACTAGAAAGATTTGTCATTTTATTTCACATTTTCCAGATGGGATGTGATGGACTCCTATGAGTAGGTGTGCTATTTCAGCCCTTAGTGGTTCATACAGAGGAAGGTACCTGAGGCCTCTTGAATGAAAACTATCAAGACAAATTTGAGGCCTCTTACCAATGTTGGATAACCCGATAAGCAAGGTGCGCATGGTCTTACCTGTGCTTACTTACTAACTTGTAGTGAACAATTTCACATCCTTTCTCACCACTACCAACATGTGGCTGATATTTATCCATTTAAACCAAACTCACTGCCACCTTCACACAAAATCAAAGGCTCTTTTCAAATTCACAATCCATGACAGGTGTAGAGTACCCAGGAAACAAGGTACACAAAAAACCTGTGAAACTGCTTACTGTGGATTTATAAGCAAGCACAAGTAAGCTCTTGCTTATTCAGTGACCTGCCCCTGCCACTCACTCCCCAGCCCCCAGGCCAGTCACCAGGAAAGCACTGTGTCCCAGAGGTGACTTGTCTAGGTGGCCAGTCCCTCTGTACCCAGTGCTGAAGGACACTGGAATCATAGCCCTGCACTGGCCTGGTTCCCCTGAAATATGCAATGTGGGGTGCTATTTCCCTACTTGCCATATACCGGTGGACGGGGCCTGAGCAGCTTGGGACTTGAGCTTTGAATTCAGAGGAAAATTATAGAGCAGAGGTTCTCAAAATGGGCAGCTGACCCAGTACCCATATCTCTTGGCCTTCAAACAAATTAATTGCTGGGACAATGTGTGTTGGTGTGTGTGCTCATCCACGTGTGCAGGCCTGCACGCATGTACGCAGGAACGTGTAGTTCACAGTGGTGCGTGGAGCTGGGACTGGGCTTCTCACACTTCCACGTGTCGAGATGTCATCGTGGTTGTGCACGGCTGCTAAATGCAGGGTCGGCAATTTGAAACCACCAGCCGATCTGTGGAAGAAAGACGGGGCTTTCTAGTCTCGTAAAGACCGACACTATCGGAAACTCTTAAGGGCAGCTCTACCCTGTCCTACAGGGTGGTTATGCCTTGGCATCAACTAGATGGCAGTGAGTTTGATTCGGTTTTTTAAGATTCACTTAGGGGTTTTGTCAGAATGTGGGTTTTGATTTGGCATGGGGCGAGATTAGGGTCTTGCATTTCTAATAAGCTACCAGCTGAGGTTGGGGCTGCAAACTCAAAGATCCACTTGGATTGGAAAGTGCTAAAATCTGTGGATGAACAGAGGGCAATATGCTAAGAGATGCATGCAGACAGCTACAGCTGAGGACTTGAGTTCTGCAATGCAAAGGTAACCTTTCTTCCCAATTAAGATGAGGGACTTAAAAGGAGGGGAAAAGAGAGAGGGAAGATTAAAAAAAAGGTGTTTTTTTTTTTTTTTTTTTTTAAAGAGGGCACTAACACACCCACAGAGAGGGTATTGTTTATGTCTCCACAGGAAAGCAGGGAGGGACCAGACCCCATTCCAGAGCGCCAAGCCTTGAGGGCAATACACTGGGCATAAAGCAGCGAACT